TAGGTGCAACAACTACCTTTTATTTTAAATCTATGGGATTCATAAGATTCCTAAATCGTTCATTTTTGTAAGTAGTTCATTTTATTGAAAACAAATGATATAATATTTATGTTGCTTATATAATATATTTACGATTATGATTTATTTACAAATTAATAATAAAATAATAGGTTAAATTCAAATGTATAATTTAAATATTAAAAATATATTTTTTAAAATTCATAGAACTAAAAATATATATAAAAACTGGGTTAAAAATATTTTGGTAACTAAAATCACTAATTTTGAATTATACATATATATCGAAAATATATTTTTCATACAAAATAAAAACATAAAAAATTAAAAATTATTGCATACACTATAATGTGGTTTGAAATACCAGTTGTACACTCCATTCGTTGATTAAATTTTAGAAAACTATAATGCTAAATAATACTGTAAATACATCTCAAATTTTTAACAAATATTTATATTATACGGTAATATGAACAGAAAAATTAGAATTATATTTTTATAATAGTTCATTTTGAATTAATATTAGCGGATGGGTTAAAATTATATTTTTATAATCATAATTAATTTTAATACTATAAAAATATATCTAAACACAAAAATTAATATTTTCACTTATTAAAAATATATTTATAAAAATAATTATATCTAAACTCAAAAACACAAATTATATTACAAAATTCATTAAACAATAAAAAATATTCTCGTACGGATGCACAGAGTTAGAATCTAGTTTTATTAGTAAAATAACAATGCTAGAGAGTTAAATTTGTGTTAAGCACATAATGACAGAAGGAACATCACAAGCTCATGTACGATGGCATCACATGGGATGTTAAACAACTTAATCCTCTTCTATCACATTTCATCATGTATAAATACAGTGTATGTATAGATTATGTGTATTTTATTTTAGTATTTTTGTTGGTAAACCAAAAAACTATAGTATATTACACCAAGAAATATTAAATGAAAAAACAACCTCAATTAATGTTAAGTTTTAACACTAAGTTGAGATTTGATTGCCTCCACACTTTTCCTCGGATATATGCTTCCGATTCACATGGCACTCACAAGACATAATCAATGTTTTTAGGTTCTTTGTCTAACATACACACCAAGAACCAAATACATGGGTTGTACCCCAATAATTTTACTGCATTGGCTAAGATATTTATATATTCGTTTGGTAAATGTCATTCTTAAATTAGTTTCAGAAGTAATTCTCATAATTGCTGATGGATACTAGAGCTGCTATCTTGGTAAAGATATCAATTTTGAATTTGTACCCTCCTAACAAAATGTGTATTTCGTTTTTCTAAAATCAACTGTTTTAAGTTAATGGAAACGTCTTATTAGTATCCAATGGTTAGCCAGGAGGCTAGTGCTTCAAAGTTAGGTATGATATTCAAATTTGAGAGAAATCAATTTTTCAAAGTCAAGAACAAGAATTCACAAAGTTCTTTTTCTTATAGGTGGAAAAAAAAAATATAGGCCTGGTAAGGTTTCACACTTTGGGCCTCCAAAATGGTAGAAAGTCAAAAGGTTTATCTATACGAGAGAGTCAACTCGTTTTAAAACGATATCGTTTCGTTGTTCTTCATCCTCGGAAACTCCTCTTGCTCTTTGGGCTATTCATTGCTCTGTTATCCACACAGAACTTAATGGGACAGGCAAAGAAAAAAGAAAGAAAGTGGCAGATGACTATCTTCGGCGAATCTGATGATACCCTTGACTCAAAATCGATGCTTGACGTATTCCATGGTTGATCCTCAATTTCTCTGTGCTTCTCTCTCAACTTCTTACGGCATTGGATCAGAAGCTAATATGCGCAGATGAATCCCTGAAGATATCGTATCCAGATCAATTATCAAGAAACTCTTATAACGAGGTTACGATCTTTACCCATGATTCCTAGTAGATCGAAAATGCGTGTAATAGATCATAAATTGCTGTGATTGAAATTGATGATCAATGCACATTCCTTTTAGTATACATAGAATGAAAATTGATAATTCAAATTAGCGAGTAGGAATAATTGTTGATTAAGGTTTAGATAATATCTCAAAAAAGGTATTATGCTTTACAGGGTGCGTGAAGAAGGGCATTTGATTATATGCTTCGTTTGTTAATCAAAAACTAAAACCAGAGGTTTGTCTTTACTTAAATTTGTCTCTGTTTAGCTGAATCCTATCTTTTGGTGCTGATTCTACTTTCAATTAATAAATATAGTCAAGATTATCAACAAAGCCCGTCTAGCTCAGTTGGTAGAGCGCAAGGCTCTTAACCTTGTGGTCGTGGGTTCGAGCCCCACGGTGGGCGTTTCTAGTCGAGTGATATCTTTTTTTTTTCAAATGAAATCCTCAGTTCATAGTGACATTTGCTTGAAACATGAAATTGCTAAATTCGTTGAAGCTAGCTCTTTGCATTCCTTATTCAAGTTTCAGTTCTTGGTAATTTCCCATATAAGTTGTATCACCTTTGCTACAAAATATACAGAAATGTTGTCTTCTTAACTTAACTAGAGTTTACTGCTATTGTCATGATTTGTTTAATTTTCCTGTCTAGATTTGCATCAAGAAGAGAAACAATATCTACCATGAAGATACATCTATGAGTACCCTTGAACTTATCTCTTTAGACATGATCAAGATACTTACTTACATTTACTTTGAGATCCTATCTTGTCTTGAACCTTGTGAAGTTTCTTCTTCCTCTCTGCTACAGGTTAGAATCTGTGCTTTACCCGCCTCTTTCTCCCAATCGAGCCTTGCAATAAAGATGAGCAATACCGAGAAACAGACTGATGCTCCAACTAAAAACCCTATCAAGAACCCTTCAAGCCCTAGTTTAGCTTTGAACGCCAAACTCGCCCCCAAAGGCAAAGCAATTAGATAGAATCCACCAAGATTCGCATACATTCCAAGCGATGGCTTTGCCGTTGCACGAACTATCTCTCCACACACCATTAAAGGGAAGTTTATAACTTCAACAAACGCCATTACCAACATCATCTTCTTCACACCGTTCAAGATCATGTGGTCATGAGTGTACACAGACCCCCAAACACCTCTACATGCTATCATCACCAAAGCTCCAATGCAGCCTGAAGCAAAACCCACAACGAGGGTAGTGTAAGCTGCTCTATAAGCTCCTTTAGGATTATTTGCGCCGAGCTCATTAGCCACTCTTGTTGCCACGCACGTGCCCAAAGAGAGCTGCACAGCGTAAAGCAAGTAGTCGAAGTTGAAAAGTATGATCAAGATCGACACTGCTTCCACCGGGTTTGGTAACCTCCCTGCTAATAAGACCAAGATCTCGTAGCACCACCACTCGAGGCACACGGTGAGACAACACGGTCCACTAAGCTTGATCAGCTTGAGCCAGTCTTGAGCACATTGGTCTAGCCAGCCACCTTCTTTCCATATGTTTTCTTTCAATCTCTCTGTGGCTATCACATATCCTGTTAGAAGAATCACGACGATAAAATCGGTTATCCAAACCGCCATGGCAACTCCTTGGATTCCTTTTGCTTTAGAGAGGAATATGTTCATGGGGATATGAAGAGAAGTGGCTGCAGCTGTTGTGTACATGATTGGGAGTGTAACGCCTTGTGAGCTTAAATAAGCCTTAAGGGGACAAAGCAAAGAGAGCACTGGCAAATCAGGAAGGAGGTAGACAAGATATCTCCTGGCTACGAAGGAAATGTTTTCTCTTTGACCAAAACCAATGAGGATCTTGTGAACATTGAGCCACAAGAAAGAAATGGGGATCGAGATCAAGAGAAGGAAGAGCATCGCCATGAGAAGGGTTTTGTGGAGAAGCTTAAAGTTCTTGGCTCCGAAAGCTTGGCCACAAATGGGTTCCATTGCAGCAGAAATCCCGTATAAAACAGCAAATCCAGTAACGTTTGCGAAGGAATTCCCTAATGAGCCTCCGGCTAGGTTAAGCTCGCCTTGACGGCCAAGAAACACAGATGTGGTGGTCATCTTACCGAACCACAACAAGTTCATAACCACCAGTGGCAAACCAATTCGCATCTGAAGCTTGAGCTCATGAACAATGCTCTGCATCAAGGTCTTTGAACAACACCCTTCAGAGACTTCTGGATCAAAAGACTCTAACTGTGATGTTTCTGACATTGTTATGCGTAGAGAAAGAGGATAATTTAGAGAAAGGGAAGTTGATAAGTGCAAACAGAGAAAAAAGGAAGGAATTTTAAGAGGTTTCAGCCATTTTTGGCCTGGTTTTGAGAGTTGCAGAGATAATTGCTTTGATTGTTTGTTGATGAAGGTGAGAAGACTAGTTGGTGTGGGCTATGGTTTTGCGTGGAGGATTATAAATTATAGATTAAAAGTATGGTTTGCGTGAGAGGCTGCATCTAAAATGAAGCGATTTTCTTGAGAAGGTTTTTGTAACGGACAAGAAGCAGAGGTGGAACAACTTGGTGGGGTTCCTATACTCTTCTTTTAGTGCGTTGATGATGATGAATCCATATCAGTCCCATTTGCACTTTTTTGTTTGTTTTTTAAAATGTGCAGTAAGTAAAAAAAAAAATATACGAAATTTCTAAACTTAATTCCAGATTTTTTGAACTACTATGCAAAACTCTATGATGGTCAAAGTATAAATATATTGTACGAATTGATCTCCGATTTATACTGATGGAAACTAGAAACTGATAGTTGATCGATTCCGCTCTCATTAATCATTATTACAAATATAATTTTATTTTGTTTTTTATAATATACAAATCTAAAAAATAATTGAACACATAAATTACAAAAGACGAGGGAAAAATAATAATAAGAAAAGACAAAAGACAATATATGGGAAAGAAGAGGATATGTGACTTTGGCTTTCTATTTTTCTTTATGAAAAAAGCAATAAATAATTGCATAAGGCATTATGGTTTAATGAAAACATTATGAATTTAAAAATACCATTTTTTTTATGGATCACTGTTTCAGCTTTTATTTTGGTGTTTCTCAAAAGAGAAAAATAAAGGGTTCGATCGGTAAGATTTTATTAACTTTATATGTAAAAGAAATATATTTAAAAAAAATATCGCAACAAAATAGGATAATCTTAAAACAGTTTTTTAAATAACTGGTTTTTAAAAAAAATTTGGAAGTGTTTGGATGCAGGGACTAAAAGTACTTCTGTTTTAATATAATAGATGATAGAAGTACGGATAACGGGTTGGATTTTTTAGCTAGTTCAACAAATTCTAAAATCCCTGTATTGGGGTTATGGTCATATGATCACTGATGATTCACATTATTTTGGATAACTTCTGAAAAAACCTTAGATAATTTTGAGTATTTTATCTTTTTTTAGTATTTTTTCAAAACAAAATTATAAACATAGCAGAGTATTTTTTGTTTTTTTTAACAACAGCAGAGTAATTTTCAAAAGTTAATTTACTCCAACCAATAGTTTATGTAAGCCCCGTCTCATCGCCATACATGAATTTTTAACTTGCGAAATTCTGCTTCCTTTATAAAAGCGAAGCACTTTATTTATAGTTTTCTCTTTGACGGCAATTATCACATTCTTTTATCAAATTTGAAATAGTTAATGATACGATGGTTACATTAAAAAACACAAAGTATGTGAAATGGAATCTGGTACCATCATCGTGAGAATTAAGCATTCAACATATAGCGCTTACATCGAATTAGAGATCGCAAGATTGTAAAATTTAACTGCAAACATGTTATAAGAAGAATAATCAGGATATAATCATTGTTTCGAATACGTTTGTAATATATATTTGTATAATGTTTTACCAATTACCATGCGGATCCATAAAACCCATTGGCTCTAGCCCATTTATTTGTCCTGGTCCATCAAAGACTAGTATCGGGTCGAATCGTCTAATACATAACGTTATGTATCTTGTTATAGAAAGTGTGCTGGGATCTTATACACTTTCTAGATCTATGAGAGTATGAGGTAGATAGCTACATAAGATTGTTGCCAAATCCATCAAATTTCTTTATTTATAGGGATCTGAATTCATTTAGAATGAAGATTTTGTCACAAACGTAATTACGTTAACAGATGTCAGATTCTGATGAATTTAGTTTTGGACGCCAAGAAATAAATGTTTTTGCGAGAAAATCGTTTGTCATCTCTATTGCGAGACCGACACTGCCGAAATTCTTTGTTTCAATATTTTCAAAATTATATTTTGAGAAAAAAAATATATTTCCAAAATTTCGAAGATTAGGTTAATCTTTCCTCCAGCCATAAAGTGAATAAAGAATTACATGTATCTTCGGACAACTATATATCTGGGAAAGCAAAAACTGATTAGAAATACTCATCTTCTTTTATTTTAGTTTATCTTGTGGCTAAGTATTATAGTAATATTCTTAAGAAGAGATAATTAACTATAAAATTGCTATTCACGACTAAGACGAGTGCTGTCTGGAAACATTCTGGTGAGCCAATAGCAAAGAGAGATTAGCGTTTAATATATTTTTAATTGAATTTGACCCTTGACGAGCTCCTGAAAAGTTGGACGATTAATTATAATTATTGCACATACCAATACAATTTTTAGTATTGTTTACTTTCAGAAGCCTATTATTGTTTATAATGCAAGAATCCATTTAGACAGTATTCATCATTTAGTTAAATATTAATGAGTGTTTTTTTCTATATCCTCAGAAACAAGTTTAAATATAAACCCAAAAAATTAAATTAATATTTTTTTTAAGAAATGATATAGGAGTATAAAAAAAAAAAACTGAACCCAAACCAAAATAGTAACAAAAACTAATACTACATGTTATAGTTAGTTTCCCTTCACTAACTGTTATTCCTATATCAAATCTAGATTAGAACAAATTAACATACAGTCAGTAAGTATTTTGATGTTTCAAAGCTCAAAGATTATATAAAATATGAGACTGAGAAGAGATGATTCCTCATGGAGAGAGTCAGAGAGAACCCTTAAATCATGTGAGGCTTCTTTGAGCTTTAGTTTGTCGTGAGCTTAATTTGTATCCAACTAGGCCGTCTTAGTGGTCCTAAAAGCACCCACTTGACCATTAATCAACCTACATGTCTTCCCCCAAATTTAACATTAGTCTTCAAGTCTCAAATTCTCAATACGCAATTAGAAAATAAGTAAATAATACAAACATTATTTATTTTCTTTGGAAAAAAGGTTGCTGATTTATTTACACGGCTTATAAATTATTTAACATTCACTTGAGGTTATAGAGTTCGGAAATTCACTTCAACGTTTTATACACATTTAATTATGTAATTTGTGTTTTTTTTTTATCGAAGACACATATGTTTATTTACATATGGTGGGGAGGGGACCATAAAAATGGGTTCATGAGAAAAGCATAAGCACGATATAATTTGACGTAATTAGGTGTATTCCACGTGAGACTCACATTTAAATCTGATTGATTAGCTTAACTTACCAACTCTAACTTAATATATTTATCATTTAAAATTACTTGGAGATCAGGAATAAACTTTGCTTGTATTCATAATCCACATCTTCGTACCAATATGACTCACACAAAGAGGCACAAACTTATTCATTTTTTTAAGCTTTAGTATATGCTTTCGTCCTGGATTCTGAGGTTTGTTAGTTTGATGATTTCACGTTTTCAATGAACTAATTACAAATGGTGTCGTTCACTTTTAATTTAGTGATTGAAAACTGAATATTGTTAGAAAAAAAATATACATTCGAATTTACCAACCGTCTTACTTATTTTGAGATGAGGAAGCCTCTTGGTAAAGAATTTCCAGCAAGTCTACCACATATAAATCGCTGATCAAACCTAAATCCATTGAAAATTTGCGGTGAAATCGAATTAACAGTTGTCCTTTAACCTAAACCCTAAAAGTGAAACTACCATTCCACTTTGTGCAACTTTGCAATGGACTTGTAACTCAAAAATTATAATCAGTGTGTGCTTTGATAAATATACTGAATTATTGAATTACCAAGAAGGGCATAAATAACTTATATAGTAACAAAGAACCTATTTTTAGTTTTGTTTTTTTTTGTTTTTAAATCGCAAACTTGTATTTGGAATTGTCATATTTTATAGTATTTTCAGAATACTTTGTGACAATTTTATGCAATTATAACTATATCGTAGGATATGAATACTCCCTCTGTTCAGAATTATTTGATGTTTTAGAAAGTTTTTTTTGTTCAGAATTATTTGATGTTTTCACTTTTCAATGCCAAATTTAATGAATTTTTATAGTTTTTGACCTTTTATATTCTGTCGATTGTCTTCTTATTGGCTGAATGATATTTAAATGGATTATAAATAATATTTTTAGTATAGAAAAAATAAAAATTAAATGAATCTTTAAATTGTGTGCAAAAACCTTAAACATCAAATAATTTAACCTTAAACATCAAATAATTTTGAACAGAGTACTAGTTAACTGAAGTATTGGATAATGGCACTGGTAGCAAGACATACAATAATTACCAATTAAAGCATCTATATACAGACTGCGAATATGACGTCAGAATGATTAACAATGTTCATGCCTCGATTACTACTTACATGATAAAGTCATGAAAACCCAAATAATTTAACTAACCAATCAATTAATTATCCGTAGAATTCGGGATTGAAAGCAAGCTGTCCTTTTCTCTTTTTGAGAGCTCGTGAACTCGAACTTTGGTTTGATAAGTTTCATGCCTTTAAAATTAAAAAAAAAAATAAGCCAACTGGCCTCATTTCCCAATAGTTTTATTGATTTTTGTAACGGGATCAATAAACGTTAACTAACCAACTAATTATTGGAAAATGCATAGCAAATCCTCTATTTTTAACTTATTTGAGAATAGTAAAACAATTTATAACTTAATTGGTTAATTTACTGTTGTCAAACCTTGTTTTTGTTTAACTTAGGAAATTACATAGCATTAATTATAAGACTACAAAAATTACAAATTAAAGAAGCGTCTGTATATATTTTTATGATTTGGTACAGGTTCACATTTGTTTAGCATACTCTGCAATATAACGTACATAGGTTTCATGTTTTCCGTTTTATATGAATCAACTGAAAGTCAACTATGAGTACATGTATGATGTATCGAATATTTATAGTTTAGGAGTACACTATATATTGGTGAACATGATTAGTACTGTTTATTTTAGAGTTAATTGTGTCATTCCAATAAATTTTAAATTTAAATCGCTTACATTTGACTAATGGTATATCAAAACAAAAGTATATTTGTATGTTTTAAAGATTTTTAATCCACGTTATATATGTTAAAGGATATCTTTAATAAAACAAAAGAAGTATGATAGATACACCATTGGTTACTATATTACTAGCACTCTCCAAGGTTAGTACATATGAAATCGTATCCGAATTCAGAAACATTATCTGTTTGATGAATGATGACTATATTATATACATTATAGAGCTATAATATGTATATTAATGTTGACAAACAAATTAGTACCTATATATACTAATGTTGACAAATAAAGCTTGAAATACAAAGTGGCACATGCGCAGTTCGATTGTTTGATAGATGAGCCGAGTTA